TCATAGCTTAAAAAAGGAAAAAAAATAATAATAATTTCGCAACGAACACGACGTCTCCGTGCTCGTGTTCTGCATGGAGCTGGCTCGCAATATGCTGCAACAGTGTTCCCTTTTTTTTTTTTTTAAATTCAAAATTTAAATTATGCATTTAGTGGTTGTCTCCCAAAACTGACAAAGTAAAATTCATGACCAAACTTTGTGGCGCAGTGTTATCTCATTTTCAAAACCTCTCATTTTTCTCTCAGTCTATGTGTAGAGCTTTTTTTTTTTTGTCTTATTTTTTACAAAATTTTGACTTGGTTTGCAAGATCTGTGCTTTTTGCCCAATTTCGTAGTTGTGATTTGGCTATTATTTGCAATTTTTTAATCTCCGACCAGGACTACAGTTGTTCGCACAAGGAATGGATTCATTGACCAAATCATCCACGTGCGGAGGCTGGCATGCCGCCACATGCGGAGGCACCAGCCTCCGCATGAGGAGGAATGGTTCCTCCGCACGCTGGCGTGCTTTCCCGTGCAGAGGAGCCGTTTTATATTTTTTTGGTTTTTTATTTTTTTACTGTGTATTAGATGTGTTGCAGAAGAAAGTCATGTAGTACTGTAGATTCTAATCGGCGGGTTCCAGTTTTGCCCTTTGCAATTATTATTAGCGTCACCATTCCGAAATATGTATTTGTAGTGATCAGTGTAATTGTATTTTGATCTGATGGAGGCGGCGACGACAATGGCGATGGCGGCGGCGACGGTGACGATGACGGTGGTGCTTCTGTACTACGTACTGAGCCGGCGGATGTCATCGACCCCAGCAGAGGAAGATTTCATCGGCGGTGAGTACTCGAGATCGAAAGGTAGATCTGAGAAGAAGCAGCTGGCTTGGCGTCCAGCTCAGGCGCCTGTAACATGGCTCAAGACGATCTCTACGCTTTTAGAGACTTTGAGGTTCACGTATTCGGAGACTCTCGGTAAATGGCCGATCGGTGACTTGGCTTTCGGAATTAATTATCTTATTAGAAGGCAGGTATGAATTTTTTAAGAAAGATTAATTCATTTCTTAAGAATTTTGGTTCTGTTATTACTGTTTTTATGCATTTCTTTATCAAAAGTAAGGTTAATTTTTTAAGTTGTCTTAACCTGTTTAGTGATTTGGTTGATTTTTCTCTATTTTTTGAGGTATATTCATGTAGTATATCGGTTATGGAGCCTGATTGTTGATCAAGTTGAACTCTTTGATTGTTTGCTCTTCATAAATTTATGAGATTTTTCATTAACGAATGATTCTTCCCAAATTTTGTAATA